GATCACATCTCACCACTGCAGTCTCGATTTCCTGGTCTCAGGCATTCCCTCCCAAGTAGCTGGGACTACAAGCATTCACCACAACACTCAGCTAATTTTTGTAGCAATAAGATCTCATTATGTTGCCCAGGCTGCTCTCGAACTCAACTCAAACTTGGGCTCATTAAGCCTCTTTCCTTGTCCTCCCAAAGTGCTGGGATTACAGGTGTGAGCTACCATACGAGGCCTTAAATTATTCTTATATGTAACAATCTTTTGTAATAAAAGCATTTTTTGGGTGACATTTCCCCAGTTCACAATTTAGCATTTTTCTTCTTTTTTAAGATCTAGTCTTAATTTTTTGGGGGGGGAGCAGTATAAGGGAGGAACTGCTATATGTATTAGAATTCATTTTAGCTCCAAATTCACGAGACTCAACCAATGGCTAAATACAATTATAGTTTATCTGTATTCCACTTAAAAGTAAAGGTAGGTTATCCATGAGTACTATAGTATGTATCTCTGATCCACTAAGTCCTTTGAGACTCTCTGTACATTTTTCCTCCATACCTAGTTATAAACTCATGGTCCAAGGTAGCAGCTAGTCTTGAAGTCATCACGTCTGCATTCCAGGCAGCAGGATGGAGGGAGGAGCAAAGAATTATCAGTGTTCTGGGTTTTTGGTTTTGTTTTTTTTTTTGAGTCAGAGTTTCTCTCTGTCACCCAGGGTAGAGGGCAGTGGCACAATTGTGGTTCACTGCAGGCTCAACCTTCTAGACTCAGGTGATCCTTTCCCCTCAGCCTCCCGAGTAGCTGGGACTACAGGCATGTGCCACCATGCATGGCTAATTCAGTGTGTCTTTTAGCAGAGGGTGCTGGGGGTTGCTACATGACATTTCTGCTTATGGCATACTAATAGTAAAAGGAAGCTTTATATTTGCCCATAGTCCTGTGGAAGAATGGGATAATGCATACTTAGGAACAGCTGGATGTCTTTGCCATGACTGTCTCCATTCATGCCCCTTCCAACTGAACTTGATATATTTCTCAGTTTATTTCAATATATTTCTTTCACCTTCTAGTGATTTCTTGTTATAGTTTTTCAAAGACGGAACCATGTGTTGTGTTGTAAAAAGTTATAAAATATAGCTGGGCTCGGTGGCTCAGCCTGTAATCCCACGCCTTTGGGAGGCTGAGGTGAGTGGATTGCCTGAGCCCGCGGGTTCAAGACCTGCCTGGGCAGCGAGACCTCATCTCTACAATAAATCAAAAAATCAGCCAGGCGTGGTAGCACATGCCTGTAATTCCGGCTACTCGGAAGGCTGAGGCGGAAACAGGATCGCTGGAGCCCAGTAGGTGAGCTGCGGTGGCCGGGAGCGGCCACTGAACTCCAGTCTGGGTGACCGAGTGAGACTCCAACTCAAAAAAAAAAGTTATAAAATATAAAGAACTAAATAAAAATCACCTATGATTCCACCACCTAAAGATGACCACTAAAAACAACATCATGTAAGAAATATCCTTAACACTAATATTTAACTAACAACTACTGTCTTCAGAGCATGAGGCTGCTTTTCAAAGTTTATTATGTTATACTTTGTATTCAATTATTTATTCCTTCAGTAAACATTATTAAACATCTGTTCCCAGCATCTTGATAATTGTGTGGTTGAGAGGGGCAGCAGTGAAAGACATTTTAAAAATTAAATTTGTTGCTCTTAGGATGCTTATAGTCTAGTACAGAGATACAAAACAAGACTAGTTTTTTATCTTGATAAAGTTGGGAAACAAACCAGGACCAGTAAGTGCCATATTTATGTTAATAATATATGTAAACATACACTAGAAAGTAGGAGATGAATGATACTGGATTTTTTTATTTTTATTTTTATTTTTTTTACTGTGGACTAGTGCTTGTACAAGTGACACCTTGAGAACACATCTCACTTTTTTAGAGGCTGTAGCGTGAAACTTGAATTACAGGTCCTCTGGGTAGCCTGATTTAAGCAGTATTAGGAAATAAGTCCAACATGGTTAAATTCTAACCCCCCCTGAGTCCCAGAGTTAGAAGTCCAAAGTTCATTTTGGGCATAATTCAGCACGACCCATATCTTTGGCAATTTGCAAGTTGAGCTAAAGAAATAAGGAAAGATGAACCAGTTTTACTGTGTTCTAAATCCTGACGTTGAATCAGTTCATCTTTCCTACTGAAAAGATGCTTAAGTGGAAAAGTAACGAAGTTAAGAAATATACAGAAAAACCTAGGAATGACGCCAAACTATTTACACTTGCCAGTAGCTGGTGAGATCTAAGTGACTCCTCGTCTCTTTACTTTTTTTTTTAACTCCATGTCCCCCCCATTCACGATACAGGCCAGGCACAGGCCCTGGACTGAGGTGTACACAGGGTACCCCGCCTCCTTTTTAAATAGTCTGTGGGACATGACATGTTTTCCAAGCATGTGCTGCTTCTGAAACTGGAAAAAAAGCTTTTGTATTTAACCTTAAGAAACTTTCAGCAGTGGCCAAGGCTCAGCTGAGATTAGTGTTAAAGGATAACCACTTGTTGGGAGCCTGCGTTGAGGGGGAGTTCCCGCCGTGCTCTGGAACCAGCAAGCCCTGCTGGGGGCCCTTCGAACCCGCAGGAACAGTGGGGCTGATTGTGCCTCTGCACCTCCTCAGGTGACCGGGGCTGAGGCCGCTTAGTTTCCACGCAGGAACACAGACTCTTTCATGAAGAAGCGACGGGCATAGGAAAAACAGAGCCTCTCTGTGCAGAGCCTTAAACTGCGGGCTTTATTTTTACTCCTGGCAAAACTGGAACGAAGAACACACATTTGCAAAAGCGCCCGGTTTCCTGTTTTCATTAAGAAAACCGGGAATGCCGAGCAGCTGAGTGTGGCGGGGGTGGTGTCACCGAAGCCAGAGGAGACCTCATTGGTGAAAGGCCGGCCTATGGCGTTTGTGCGTGGCCCGGCTAAGCGCACAGGGATATTGAAACTTCGTATGCGGGGACGAGCGAGCACGGCGGCGGCGGCGGCGGGGCTCGGGCGCCCGAGAGGCTGCGAGTGTGCGGGGCGCGCGGCGGGCCTGGTAGGTGAGCGGGGCGCGCGGGCGGGCGCAGGACCCGGGCCCCGCCGCGGTGTTCCCGGTGGGCGGCCGGGGCGAGGGGCAGGGAGAAGGCTGGGGCCGCGCGGGCCGCCCCGGACCGCCACGGCCACCCGCAGGCGGGGTCTACAGGGTCCCGTGTGGAATCGGCGGCTCACACGGGCGAGATCTGCCCGCCTGTCCGGCACCGAGCCTGCAGTTTCTGTCTGCTTGTGGAATTTCAGGCGGCGCTGGAAACAGGTCTGGCTGCATATTTTGAGTGAGCGTGTCCTCCATGTGGACTTTAAAGTGAAGAAGAGAGGTTGGAAGGAGAGAGAGGCGAGAGCGAGAGAGAGAGAGAGAAACAAGTTCTGTTAGCATGAGCACAAGTTTCCAGGCAGGAGCGCCTCGGCCAGCCCTCCAATTCTTAGGCTAGGAAATGATTGCTGCTGAGCACTTCTTTCAGATGGAATCCATTTCCCACATGTTTTTAGAATTGAACAGCGAGAACCATTGAATATTGTTTTAAATCAGGACACCGCAAATACATACCTTTTCCTTCCTCTGCTTGGCAAACTTCTTTTTGTACTTGTCTTTTCGACACTTCAGAAGAAAGAGGGCAGATGGAGGCCAAAGGGGTATTCAGAGCACTCACTCTGTCAGGTCGAAATGTTCGGCAGTACTGGGGGTTGGGAGGGCAGAGCAACCCAGGTGTGCAGGAAGCTACTTCAACCTTGGCGGCAGTCAGGTGGGTTTGTAAAACCCAAGGTAGGGCAGGGGTACAGATGGCTTACGTTTTCACTCACTGCATTTGGGTCCTTCCCACAGATCTAAAAATGCAGAGCTTGTTAGTATGACTCTAGGAAAACACATTACTTGATCCTACAATTTAAACAAACAATACCTGCCTTGCATGTAAATTGGAAATGCATAGCTCACGTCAGCGGTAAGGTCTATGCTTTGAAAGGTTCTTGTGTTTCTCCTTTTAAATGTTTGGTTTAGCCAGAAGTAGCGTTTGCCAAGCACCACCTGATCCAGAGGTTAGAGTATAGATTTGCCCTTATTTTCATTCTCCATTGCATCTGTTTGGATTCATCACAAATACAAAACAAGGTGTTCCTGGGGTAGCTAATGTTTTGTCCAAAATAAGCCAAAGTGGAGAAAACTTTTCCTCCAGTTGGGAGTGGTTTTTGTTTTGTTTGTAAATGGGAAGAGAAATTGAGAAGAGGAAGACACAAAATAGAGTTGAAATCTTTCTCCTGACTGTGTTCTTGTACCCGTGCTGCCAGAGTTAATCACCCAGCATCCTGTGCCCCAGCTTTCTCAGCAAGGGAGGTGTCAAGGCAGATTGTGATCTTGTGGAGGTGATCAGGCACTGAGTGCTCTTGGCTACCATGGAGAAAGGTTGCCCAGCCTGCAAAAGATCAGCAGTGGGAAGAGCTCCTCCCAGGCCTCCTGATTCTGCTACTGACTTTGCTGGTCTGCTGCTGACTTTCAGTTTTTTGTGCCTCAGATAACACTTTGTAAAAATAGAAATCTTAATGTCTGCTATCTATACAAGGACTGTAGATGGCAAATGAAATTATATACCTGACAATACTTTCAAGTCTTTTTAAAAAGCACATTCTTTGAAAAATAAAGCAGTTAGTAAGGACTTACTATGTGCTTGGCTCTTTAAAATCATTAGATCATTACATTCTTTTAACCCTATGAGTTAAATACTTGTGTTTCTATTTTTACTCAGGGGTAAACTGAAGCTCAGAGAGGTTTATTAACTTGCTCACCCAGCTGTTAAGTTGTAGATCCAGGGTTAGAACATAGGCCTGTCAATTCCTAAAATCATACCAGCTTGCTACACTGCAACATCCACAAATGTTAGTTTTTACCGTTATGTATATTACATGCCAATATAATATTCTCTTCTCTCACTCTTAGAAAAAGCAGATGATGTTCTGAATGGAGACCATGACAAGGAACAGAAAGACCCTTATTTTGTGGAGACCCCCTACGGTTATCAACTAGACTTAGATTTCCTCAAATACGTGGATGACATACAGAAGGGAAACACCATCAAGAAACTAAACATCCAGAAGAGGCGGAAGCCATCTGTGCCATGCTCAGAACCCAGGGCCACACCTGGTCAGCAAGGTGTGTGGACTTCCACCGAATCCCTCTCTTCCTCCAACAGTGATGACAACAAGCAGTGCCCCAGCTTCCTCCTAGCCAGAAGCCAAGTTACATCAACGCCAATCCCAAGGCCACCTGCCCCTCTGGAGACTTCACCCACTTTTCTTACCATCCCAGAGAATCGACAGCTGCCACCTGCCTCGCCCCAACTCCCAAAGCACAACCTTCATGTCACCAAGACACTGATGGAGACCCGGAGAAGACTCGAACAGGAGAAAGTCACCATGCAGATGACACCGGGTGAGTTCAGGAGGCCCAGGCTGGCCAGTTTTGGAGGCATGGGCTCCACGAGCTCCCTCCCCTCCTTTATGGGTTCTGGAAACCACAATCCTGCCATGCACCAGCTTCAGAATGGCTACCAAGGTAATGGGGATTATGGTGGCTATGCCCCAGCCGCTGCCACCACTTCCTCCATGGGGAGCTCCATCCGCCATAGCCCCCTGAGCTCAGGGATCTCCACCCCTGTGACCAACGTGAGCCCCATGCACCTGCAACACATCCGTGAGCAGATGGCCATTGCCCTGAAACGCCTGAAGGAGCTTGAGGAGCAGGTGCGAACCATCCCTGTGCTGCAGGTAAAGATCTCTGTCTTGCAAGAGGAGAAAAGACAGTTGGCCTCACAGCTGAAAAACCAAAGGGCTGCATCCCAGAACGATGTCTGTGGTGTGAGGAAGCGGTCCTACAGTGCGGGGAATGCCTCCCAGCTGGAACAGCTCTCCCGGACCCGGAGAAGTGGTGGGGAACTGTACATTGACTATGAGGAGGAAGAGATGGAGAGTGTAGAACAGAGCACACAGAGGATAAAGGAGTTCCGGCAGCTCACAGCAGACATGCAGGCCCTGGAGCAAAAGATCCAAGACAGCAGCTGTGAGGCCTCGTCGGCGCTCAGGGAGAACGGAGAGTGCCGGTCTGTGGCGGTGGGTGCTGAGGAGAACATGAACGACATCGTCGTGTACCACCGAGGCTCCAGGTCCTATAAGGATGCAACTGTAGGGACAGTTATAGAGACGAGGAACTCTGCAGTCAGTGTAACAGAGGCCATGCTTGGAGTGACTACTGAAGCAGACAAAGAAATTGAGCTGCAACAGCAGACCATAGAAGCCTTAAAGGAAAAGATCTACCGCCTGGAAGTGCAGCTTAAGGAAACCACCCACGACCGGGAGATGACAAAACTAAAGCAAGAACTGCAGGCTGCTGGATCGAGGAAGAAAGTTGACAAAGCCATCATGGCCCAGCCGCTTGTTTTCAGCAAGATGGTGGAAGCAGTGGTACAAACGAGAGACCAAATGGTTGGCAGTCACGTGGACCTGGTGGACACGTGTGTCGGGACCTCTGTGCAGACAAATAGTGTAGGCATCTCCTGCCAACCCGAGTGTAAGAATAAAGTCGTGGGGCCTGAGCTGCCCATGAATTGGTGGATTGTTAAGGAGAGGGTGGAAATGCGTGACCGATGTACTGGGAGGTCTGTGGTGACATGTGACAAGAGTGTGGGTGTGGAAGTCAGCGTCTGTGAAACAGGCAGCAACACAGAGGAGTCTGTGAATGACCTGACGCTCCTCAAGACAAACTTGAATCTCAAAGAAGTGCGATCCATTGGTTGTGGAGATTGTTCTGTGGATGTGACTGTCTGCCCTCCAAAGGAGTTCACCTCCCGGAGCATGAACACCGAGGCTGTTGGCCAGGTGGAAGCTGCCATCATGGCAGTGCCTCATACCACAAACCAGCACACCAGCACGGTTTTGGAACAGGTGAACCAGTCCACCAACACCGAGATGGCCACCCTCGTAGAATCCTACACCAACACTTCCCTAAGCACTTTGGACAAGCAGACCAGTACTCAGACCGTGGAGACACGGACCGTGGCTGTAGGAGAAGGCCGCGTCAAGGATGTCAACTCTTCCACCAAGACACGGTCCATCGGTGTGGGAACATTGCTTTCTGGCCATTCTGGGTTTGACAAGCCATCAGCTGTGAAGACCAAAGAGTCAGGAGTGGGGCAGATAAGCATTAATGACAACTACCTGGTTGGTCTCAAAATGAGGACCATAGCTTGTGGGCCTCCACAGTTGACTGTGGGGCTGACAGCCAGCCGGAGGAGCGTGGGTGTTGGGGATGAGCCTGTAGGGGAGTTCCTGGAGAGCCCCCAGCCCCAGGCTCCGTCTGGAATGATGACCGGCTTGGATCACTATATAGAACGTGTCCAGAAGCTGCTGGCAGAACAGCAGACGCTGCTGGCCGAGAACTATAGTGAACTGGCAGAAGCTTTTGGGGAGCCTCACTCACAGATTGGCTCCCTCAACTCACAGCTCATCAGCACCCTGTCCTCCATTAATTCTGTCATGAAGTCTGCAAATACTGAAGAGCTGAGGAACGCTGACTTTCAGAAAAGCAGTCTAGGTAAAATCACAGGTAAGGGGCACCTGAGGGACCTGGGAGTGAGGGGAGACTGTCTTTCCAGGAGATGAGGAATTTTTTTTTTAACTGCTGGAATCATTTTTTGGTGAAAAATGGAGAAAGCTTTAGATGGGTAATAGGTAGAATGAAAACTAAAAATCAAAACCCATAAATAATCTGCTGGTTTTCATTATCTGGTTACTTCATTGGTCTCTAACCAAGCACTAAGGCTAGAAGAAAAGTAAACTACAGTTGGCTGGCCTAGAGGTTGTCTCTGGGGCTGCTGATTTGATAGGATGCTTTCTCCTTTGGCTTCCAGTTATTGACTTGCTCATTTTATGCAGAACTGCCTGAAAAAAAATTCTATGTTGTTTGTACCCACAGTTACCAATATATTATCAATTAAAAATACTGGTATAAAATGTTTTCAGCTAGAATTTTTGGAATAGGAGAGACACCCCATTCATTTAGCAAATAATTATTAAATTTGAGCCAGGCACCGTGGTGCAGACCGGTAGTCTCAGCTTCTCTGGAGGCTGGGAGGAGGAGCACTTGAGCCCAGGAGTTTGAGGCCAGCCTCCACAACATAGCAGGGCCCTTGTCTCTAAAAAATAATTACTTGGAATTATTTGAATTCCTACTTTGCTTCAAGCATAGGTATAGGCTTTGAATAAAACCGAACAGAGTCCCTGTCCTCATGGTACTTATATTCTCACTGGGGCGCAGGCAGTAGACAGAAAACCTATAATATGTCAGAAGGTGATCAATGCTATGAAGACAGTAACTGCACTGTGGGAATAGCAGATGGTAGCGGACAGGGGTGGGGCTATTTGAGGCAGTCAAGGAAGGCCTTGCTTCGAAGGGTCCCTTGAGCAGGAACTCTGAGACCAGGGTCTTTTCCCACTATTAGTTTTGATAAGTGCTGACATTTTTGTCTTTCTCATTTTCTCCATTATTCACTGGAATTCTTGCTAATCCTTTTCTTTAAGTTGAAGCTAATAATTAAGAAAATATCCTGGATGTTTTCAGGATATGTGGTAACTTCCTTTGAGCCTCAGTGAAATTACTGCCCTCGCCATCGGGTACATCGTGTCTCTCCTAATCCTTCATGGCGTCCTAGGCCTGGGACCACACTGCCTGGCTTCCATTCCTGGCTCTCCAGTTCTCACGAACCAGTGTGACCTGGGGAAGGACATGCATTAAATTAATTTTATGTGAAAATGTATGAAATAAATGTAAGTAAGCCATCCACAAAAATTAGTCTTTCTCTTTTAATCATTCCCTAAGAGGGCAATGATTAAAATGGACCGAAATAGATTGTTTATATCTTCCTAAGTTTCCATTTTCAGACCTAAATTATTATTGGTTTCCAGTATCTCTTCTATGGGACAGATAGTTTGTTGTGGAAGAAAAAAAAAATGAACATGACAGCTGATGTGTGGGTGTTTGCCTTTTAGAATTTAAAGGGTCTAATAAATGTCCAGGGGAGTCTACTTAGAATAAACAGGATTAAAAAGATGTGTGGATTGAAGCAAAGTCTGAAGTAACTAATACTATGTCTGCTTCCACATCCTTTTAAAAATCATGATGTCAGATGTTGAAGTCAAAATTAAATTCTTAAATACCTCCAGACACAGATGACACAGTGGATCATCCAGTATGAAAGCATTTTCTTTCCAGCCTTCCTCCCTCCTCCCCAAACTGGGGTTTCTGTTTCACATTCTTGCCAAAAATATTCAGCTGTAATACTGGAGTAATTTTCCTGACCCCTTGAGCCTGAGACCAGGGAGCAAGTTTGGTCTGGCTGTTATAGTGTTTTTTAGTCTATTTCCAGTCACGCTGACATGCCACACATCACTGTTTAGACCAGACCCGTCATACGAACACATAATTAATCAGCTAAAATACAAGAGACCTACAGCATTGGTGAACAAAACAATGCATATTTTCAGTAGCACTTAATTAGTCATAGTGGCAGCCCCTCAGAGTACACAAAGACAACTTTAAAGCATTTCTGTCATTCATATCACATTTGTGTTTTAACCATTTTGCTTTAAAGCTCTAATGAAGAAGGAATTTGGTTAGGAAACCAACCCAGAGTATTGAGTGTTTGTTATATGGACGGAAAATTCAAGCAGCTTGATATAGTAAGGCAGAGATTCTCAACACTGTGAGAGTGTAGGTATGTGTCACAGTGCACTAGGGATTCCTGCACACCATAAAACATAGACTGTCGCTCATGCAGTCTAGAATGAAATTTCTGTACTGAAAGCTATACTAGAGTGTAGAAATGTATTTATTTCAAATCACTGCCCAAATAAAACAATAAGGAAGTTGAATTTGACACCTAGCAAAAAGAGCATATAAGTGATCACTTACTTGAACCTAGTGCTGTGCTTTAAACAGGTTGTCAAATTTGTACTCTGAAGTCAGACACTGTGGATTCACACACTTTCTTTGTCTCTGGAACAAGTTATCTTTGTTCCTTCATTGTGCTGTGATGAAGATTCAATGAGTCAATAGGAGTAAAGCATTTGGAGTAGTGTGCAGCACAGAGTATAACGCTCAGTAAAAGCAGGCTGACATTAGAGTTGCTTGAGTACTTTCAGAAATGGAAATGTAGACATAGGACAAATTGCAAAGCAAAAATTGTGCAAATTGTCTTTTGTTTTCAATCCAAATTTTTATCTTCATTGTTCTGGCTAATGACCCTTCCCCCACCCAATTGGTATGCCTCCCCAACTAATAATTTTATCGAGATAAAGAAATATATCGATAAAAATGGGAAAACACAAAATGAATACAATAAACTTTCAGTCCAAAGTCATTCAGAATCTGTGCCAAAGCCCAAAATGAAGTGTATTAGTGCCCAATCCATAGAATTCTGTTCCTTTTTCCTAAAGTTGAAGATTTAACGATGGTGTCACTTTTTAGTATGCAAAAAATTATTTTTAGCCGTGTCATAATGCCTAACACTCCTATTCAATTTCTTAAAATCACAACTGGAGTGTACACTATAAGAAATTAACAGTTCAGAAGACCATCAATAAACAGTGAAAGCCTCCCTCACACTCCTGGGGTGCCCATGTGTGTTTGGCATTTACAGATGTGCATGCATGGTGCTCTGCATTGTGGAAACACACTTTTTAATAAAATTTGCATCATACATAGCCTATGTATTTTTTCGCCTAAAACGTCACAGATATCTTTCCAGAATTTGAACGACAATGTCTTAGTTTTGATGCAGATGGAATGTGATGGTGACCAAAGGTGTTCTGTATTTTTTAATTCCTGAGTGAGTTTAATGTATTTGATATTTTCTTCCAGGAAATAAAAAAGTTGAGAGGAAATTAGTTTCTATTTTAACAGAAATTTTAGGAAGGGAAATTTTATTCTTCCTATAAATCAAGTTTATTGTTTTGGTTTGGGGAGTGGGTTAATGTTTTGTTTTCTTATTTTATTCTGGAGAAAGGAGGAGAAAGAAAATTCCAAGCAAATGACTTGCAGTTACAAATACTCTAAAAATATAACGATCTCTGAGCAAATACAAACAAAACTATAACAAGGAAATGTAATTGCCATCCACATTATTTATAGAATGTTTATCTCTCATATTCAAAAGAACCACTTTTGAGAATTGGCTTCCATATTTGCACTTTTAGTTATCTTGGATGTGTTAAAAAGTTTATGAGCATGAAGTCATTCCCATAACCGTGAAAGTAAGTTATAGACAGAGATCTGAGCCAAAGCAAAAGCAGAGAAATAAGTTATTACAAAATAGCACTTCTGGTTAGTTTTCTCCTAGTTCAAATAATATACCATTTACTTGTCCTAGCATCTGTGTTTTTTAAATCACTTTTTAAAAATGCTACAAGAACATCAAAACAGTGCAAACCAAGTGTTTCTGGAACCCTGTGGAATGTAAGTGCATGATGTAGTGGAAGACCTATTGGCCGGGAAGTCAGAAGATCTGACTTCTGGTAGCAGATGTGCAGGTAGCTTGCTGTATCATTTTAGAGATGTAGAGGTGGGCTTCCGTAGACTCCTGTGTCAAATGATAAAATTGAGTTAGTTTTTCTCTGATGGTCCCTTTCAGCAGGATGATTCTATGCAAATCACTCTTCTCCAGGCTGCCTGCCAGATTTAGCTGGGGAACTTTTTCCCCAAAATTCATGGGTTTCCTACCATCATCCACCAGTCACCCAATAGGCACACCCAGGTCCTATTTCAGGGAAATGTTGGCATAAACAGCTTTAGAGCAGAGCGTTTTAATTTAGAGTTAATAGCTTCCTTAACAGTTTTGTATTTGAACTTTTTGTGAAGAAAGTACATGATGTTCACTTGATTCTCAAAAGGGATAGTTGACCCTCAGAAAAACTGAAAATGCAGACCTAGGTCATCTGTTATAGAACTTGGTAAAAGGTGCTTCAGCCCTGAGGAAGATCTTTTCAAAAGATTTAAAGTCTGTCCACCACCTTTGTGAGACCTTCAGTTGACACTTGTTTGAAAATCTTGTTCTTTTAAGTTAAAGCTTTGCCATTTAAAATGATATCCAAATGTACAGTGAAATGCAAATATGCTTTGAAAAAAGATGCAAGTTTACTTTGATACTTTTACTCTGAATTAATTCTAAAGTATGCTGTTGTTTCTGGCTAAAGCATGGAGTTTGATGGTTTTTAAGAACTAAAATGGCTTTTTGAGTTATGGATGTCCAAGCGGGTGCAGTGGCTCACACCTGTAATACCAGCATTTTGGGAGGCAAAGGCAAGAGGATTGTCTGAGCCCAGGGGTTCGAGACAGTCTGGGCAACTTAGCGAGACCTCATCTCTACAGTAAATTTTAAAATTAGCTAGGCATAGTGGAACACGCCTGTGGTTCCAGCTACTTGGAAGGCTGAGATGAAAGGATCATCTGAGCTCAGGAGGTCGAGGTTACGGTAGCCATGAGTGTGCCACTGGACTCCAACCTGGGTGGCAGGGTGACTCCAATTCAAAAAACACACAAATGAAAAACCC